TATATATATATACATACATACAAAGAAAGAAGGAATAAGGAATTAAAAGAGAAAGTAGATTAATAAGTTTTACTGCGCATAAGTTGCAGTAACATGGAACGCATATAATAAGATAAAAATATAAAGAAATAAAAAGGAACTGCATTTTTTTAAGAAAAGGAAAAATTACCGAAAATAACGAATTTTTAAGAAGTAAAAAAGAATAAAAAATAAAAGCTGGAAAATAAAATAACAAAAACATACAATCTTGGCAGTCAGTTTACAGGATTATATCTGCAAATTAGAGTGCTTTCTAATATTGCATTAATATTGTATTGATATCACAAAAGCAATATATATCCTTACAATAATGTGAAATTTATCTTATGACTTTTCTTTAATATTTTGTTACGAATTTCGCTACTATTCAGTAAGCCGGAAGTAAACAAATTAAACTTTATCATTATTATTATTTATTTTTCGGTAGATGTTCATTTTGTTCAATGTTTAAAAAAAAAATAAATAAAAGTAAATGAAAATAAAATTCTGCTTATACTTCTATATATTTTCTTTGTATTTTTTACTTGGAAAAAGTATAAAAAGGGTAAGGCTCAAAGGGGTGAGGTACAGTGTGAAAATAAAAAGATTTTTTTTCTATAAAAAATGTATATAGTGACTTAAAATGTATTTCCTCACTCCTCTAAGATATTCAATAACTTTCAATGTAAGATTAAAGTAATATCTAGTTTCACCGTATATATTAATAATCGATGAGTCTTTTGATTAACTCATGAAAGGAAAATGAATATTGGTGCAAACTTATGAAAGGGGAGCCATGAGTATATAACCAGGAGCATCGGTAATGAATCATCAAATAGCCTTCCTTCATCAGTTAGCTCGTGTGGACCCCGCCTTCCCAGTTACCCATCCTTCGGTCTTTCATTATTTAATGAACTTCGAAAAAGACTCCCAGGATTGAGAACTGACGTCACTAATGTTAGCCAGGACTCTTTCTTTTCCAATGGATTGCTTGCTGTCACCCATCTGTCCCATGAGCTATTCTATAGATGGTCCAAGATATTGACATCTTTTTAACCCATGAGATTTTTTAGATCGTCATGGAAAATAGTTACAATTTTAGGAAACTCGTTTTTCTTTCGAACTTTTATTTTGTATCTTGTAAATTAAAACATCTGAAACGTTGCCCAAAAGAAACCAGGTACATTTTTTAATACTTTTTTAGAGATTTTTTTATGTCCTCTTACCAAAATCTAATCTTCTTTTTTTGTTTTGCTTCTTTTGAATTTTATTTCTCTCGTGATTATATGGTTTCCTTAGAAATATTTCATTTTAAGTTCAGTGAGTGGTTTGGTATTTTTTCTTTTCAAGTTGCTTCCAAGTAGTTTAAAGGAAATTTTGTAAATTACAAATATTGTATTATCTTAGATTTAAATGATCTATTTTCATTTTTTAAAGTTCGTGACGTTATTTAATTTCGGTTATCAATTTAACAACATACAATCTACGATCTTAATTCAGTATTTTTATTTTTATTTAAATGAAAGTATGGAACATTTTAAAGTAGAATGTCTAGAAGATATATATCCTTTAAAACTAATTTTACAACACCTACCATTTGTTTAATTATTAATTTCCTGAACACTGTAAATGATCCATAATTGTTCTGAAGTAAGTACGAAATTATTTCCTGTTTCGTGAGCTTGGTTCAGTATCTGTTTTTTTTCTTCCTTTTTAGGTAAATGAGAAATTAACTCATTTTAAAGTAGATTGTCTAGAAAATATATATCCTTTAAAAATACTTTTACAACAACTACCATTTATTTAATTATTAATTTCCCTACCCTGTAAATGATCAATAATTGTTCTAAAATAAATAAAAAATAATTTCGTGCTTCGTATACTTAATAATCACTAAATGTGTCTACGTTTTACGTCAATGAAAAACACAAGTGAATTCACATTTAGTTTAAGAAATCATTCATTACACAGCATTCAGAAGAGAAAAATATTCAATAAATGATTAGATCTGATTACTAGCCTATTACTCAGAATTTTACTTTAAATGAAAATGAAACCAAGCATTAAAATCACACAAAAACGTATAAATTAGATGCTTATTTAGATACAGCTTTGTAGATATATTTTATAAAAAAATAAACTAAAACCAGCTGACTAGATTCCTTACGCCACTTAAAATAAGTTTTAAAATATTTATTTACAGCTTAACATTATTTATATTAATAATACACATTTTTTATATTTCAATTTGTTTCTTTATTTATTTTTACAATAATTTATTTAAGATTTACTTAATTTTGCAAATAAGGAGTACCACATCTTTTATTCTTAGTCATCTTTAAAAGTGCATTAGTTTTCAGCCACTTATCGTCCAATATCCCTGTTTGTTGTATGATCCGGTCCTTAATCAGCGTTCCAAGCAATTCATTGGCCGTAGTTGATTGATCTACTCTTTGTTTAGTCTTGATGTTGACTGTCATATGACAATCTTCTGAGCTTGATCATACATCCAGAAACCCAATGTCCGTTTCAATGATGGATTACTAGCAGATATTGAAGCCAATAACCTTAATCTTACCTTAAGGTCTGGATTTTTTTTTCCTCTTAGCAAAAGGTTATCTTGTCGTTCGCTGAAAGGGAACTTCTATAGCATACTCAGTTAAAAATATTTTATTAAATTCAATTGTGTTATTGCAAGATCTTATTTTAGGTTGCAAAGTTTTCTGCTATCTTTTTTAGGAGCTACTGAAATCATTATAAGTGTTATATTTTCATTAGTAGGCATCTATGGAAGCATAAGTAAAGTGGGGAATAAAAAATTCATATGAATACCAAGCATTAACGCTTTTCAATTGGTGTGATGAGTTTACTTTTTGCCTACCATATCTTATATGGGAGTTCGATTCCCCGTGCTAAGAGCTGTGTAACTGATCGTAATTTTCTCTGATAGAGTCTAAAAGGTTTGTAATTCACTTTAATTTTTTGTCCCCTGTAGTTTCAAGGATGTAAAAGTTCATGCTTGTTTGGGCAGTTGGGGAATGTGGTGCGGAGGCCGGGAGCTTATTAACACCATCTGCTCTTTGATTTAAATTGTAGCAGTGTAGTGCATGGTTCGCCAGTATTGTCTTTGAATCATCATTATGAATGAATGTTAGACCTTCACCAATATCGCATTAATTTAGCTCTTGTATAGCGTTTATAATCCAACTAAACATTAAAGTAGTTAAGCATAAAATAAAATACATTTCTCTGGCACACTCTTAAGTAGTTTTTCAATGTATTTATTGGCATCCAATATTAATATGTTCTTCTAGTTCTCCTTAGTTTTTCATTTTATTTATTTATACTTTACTAGCAGCTGTCGCTTTAGTTCTGTTTGTGTAAACTTCTCTTTGGTGAAAACAAGTTGTTCAGTTTTAATCTCGTACTTTGGAAAATAAATATTAACAAGCTACATTTTACAGATAAAAAAAAATATTATTTGAGCTTTTGAATATAAAGATGTTACACTCTTAGAAATAAACTCTCACTATTGATGACCCAGCAATCCTTCAGCTATACTTGAGATTCAAGAATTATTTCGTCTTGAAATCACGTGATTTGAAACAAAACGGGAACGCTCAAATATAAGACAGAAATGTTTCCTTAACTCATAATCAAATCGTAGTGTATTGTGGGAGATAATTAACTTGAATACCGATACTTGGAGGAAGATCATACGATCAAAACTAGAATGACGACACTTGCCTACGTGCTTGTATGGTGGCTAAGGAGTTGGCCCTGTATCAGAAAGATTCCGGATTCGAATCCCGCTTCGGCCATGGGTGTAACTTATCTCTATCTTCTACTTGTCTTTCGTATGTTATGAAGGTGACGTTGACCCAGATGTATGGTGTCCACGATCAAGTTATTATTAGAAAAGTTAAATACATTAGGCACTATGATTTTTTTTTCTTTTGGAAAAAGATAGA